TAGATGCCGAAGGCCCCCTTCCCTCCCTCAGGCACAGCACGGCAGGGGGTGGTGCCCTGTCCCTGTCCTATCTGGTCACCTCCCTTCCAGCCAGATCCGACCTCTTCTGGGGCGTCTCTAGGGGTGTGGGTCCCTGAGGAACGTCTCGACTCCCCTGGTCACCCAACCCAGACCCCGGCAGTTACCTCCGCTGCAGGTGGCAGGTGGGAGCTCCTGCTGGCGTGGAGGCCGAGACTGGCTGCAGGCGACCACGGGCACAGGCCCAGCCCAAAGGCAGCAGGGGGTGGCTGGGGTGTGAGCCAGGGTGTGAGCCCGGAGTTTCCATGCCGTATTCAGAGGGAGGGGGAAGGGAGAGGTGTGTGCTGGCGTGTGTAGGGCGAAGCCCACTGGGGTCAGAGCTGCGTGAGGGTGTCTCTCCAGCGCCTGCCCTGGACCCTGGGGACACTCAGTGTGGACAGGGTTAGGTGACCCTCATCTATGCCGCCTGGCATCTGGGTGGACCGGAACTCTCTACATCTTATGGAGGCACAGAGATGCCAAAGGCAGACGGAATCCGAATGTATGTATTTGGTGTTTCTGAATATGAATGTAAACAAATTACACAGAACAAGTGTATTTTAAAACGTAACTTGGGGCGCCGGGGGCTCAGTCAGTTAAGTGTCTGACTCTTGGTTTTGGCTCAGGTCATGACCTCACTGTTCCTGAGTTCAGGCCCCGCACTGGGCTCTGCGCTGACGGCACGGAGCCTGCTTGGGATGCTCTCCCTCTCTCTCTGCCCTTCCCCTGCTTGTGCTCTGTCTCTCTCTCTTTCAAAGTAAGTAAACAAATAAAATTAAATAAAATAAACATAACGGAAGGCTCAACAAAGCACCGAATTCGGCAGCTCATTAAAGGCTCCTGCACCACCACCAAGTGGGAATTATTCCCGGATGCAGGGATCGACCAACACCACACCGATGAACAGAGTGAAGGAAACGTTAAGCACACAGTCGTCTCAGCTGATACAGAAAAAGCATTTCACAGAGTTCAACACCCGTTCGTGATGGAAACAGCCAACAGACTAAAAACAGAAGGAAACGGTCTCAGCTTAACGAAGACCATATACACAGAAACCCACGGCTAACATCAGTCGGCGGTGAAGGGCCGAGAACGTTCCCCCAAGAACAGCCCACTGCCATCACTTCTATTCAACGCGGCCCCGGGGCTTCTGGCCAGAGCAACTGGGAAGGAAAGGCACTGAGACGGGACGAGAAGGAAGATGATCTGTGTTTGCAGGTGACCTGACCTTACATGTAGAAAACTCTAGATTCCACAAAAAACCCTTATTAGATTAATAAATACATTTAGCAAAGTCACAGGAGACAAAATTAACACACAAAAATCAGTTGCATCTGTCTACACTGATAGTGAGCCATCCAAAATAAGTCAGCAGCTGCACTGACACCAGCATCAGGAAGAATAAAGACTTCGGAATGAACTTCACCAAGGAGGCGGAAGGCTCGTACGTGAAAGCTGCAAACCCAGCAGAGGAAGTTGAAGACCCAAAGAAGCGGGAGGCGTCTGTGCTCCTGGATCGGAAGGCTTCCTATTGTTGAGATGTCGGAACTACCCTAAGTGAGCTACATGTTCAGTGAAATCCCCACGGAAACCCCAGAGCCTTTTTTTTTTGAGAAGTGGAAAATTCTATTCTACAGAAGGAATCTTGAAAAAAAACAAAGTTGGAGGGCTCACTTTTCCTGATATCGAAACTTACCACACACACATGCACACATACTCACACGCATATACACATACATGCACACACGCACAACACTCATATACGCACACACGCATAACACATATACATGCGTACACACACGTAAACACATATACACATGCACACACACATACATACAAACATACACACAGACACACACACACACAAGTCATCAAACTGTGGTGCTAGCATGAAGGCTGATGGACTAGAATCAAAGTCCCCAAAATAAACTCACATAAGGTAAAGTTATTTTTGCCAAGACCATCGGACGGGGGAAGGACAGTCTTTTCAACAGACGGTGCGGGGTAAATACGAGGGTCCCCGTGCAGGGGAAGGAAGCCGGACTTTCACCTGACGCCATACACGAACATCCACTCAAAATGTACCAAAACCGAAACATCAGAGCTTAAACTATAAAACTCTGAGAAGAAAACGTCAGCGTCCAAGGGTGAATATATAGCTGCATAGAGTTAAAAATATGGAATCAAAACATTTAACATGTTTTTGCAATTTCGACTCCCTACTCAGTTTGGAGAGATTTTAAAGGAGCCTTGGTGGGGCGCCTGGGGGGCTCAGTGGGTTAAGCGTCAGACTCTTGGTTTTGGCTCAGGTCATGATCTCCTAGTGCTGAGATCGAGCCCCGAGTCAGGATCTGTGCTGACAGTTTGGAGCTTGCTTGGGATTTTCTCTCTCTCTCTGCTCCTCCTCCCCTCTCTCCTTCTCCCTCTGTCTCTGTCTCTCTTTCTCTCTTTCTCTCAAAATAAATTAAAAAATAAAAGAGAGTTGGGGAAGGAATAGCCTGTTTCAAGGGAAATGTAAACTTCCCAAGGGAATTACTGCACATCACACGTGCTACTGTCGCAGAACTCGTCGTCCCCGTTCCTGTTCTTTCTCGTCGGACGCTGGCGTGGAGCCGCTCGCCCTGCGGTAGCAGCAGGAATGTTTGCGGCTAGATTCTAAATGTCCACACTCTCCTCTTTAGTTTGTGTTGCCTTGAATTTTTATAACAGGCATGAACTATTTTAAAAATCTAGGTAACCTATTTTTAAAAATATCTATCTGGCTGATGCCCAGCTCGGAAAATAAATTGCACAAAAAGAAAAAAAGCAGAGTCTAATCTCATTGAAAACATGAAGTAAAATCCTAAAAAAATATTAGTACATCAAATCTAGCAGGCTGTTATAACATTTGATACTCGTAAATCAATTGATAACATTGGTGTAACACACTGAATGAAAATACAGAAAGAGGTTCGTGAATCATTGCGTACGATTTTAAATTCCCTCCCTGATGGAGCCAGTTTGCATGATCAGCACAGAGGACACATCTTAATTCGATGAAGGGTGTGGGCCAGGACCTCCGACCTAGGTGCACCCCCCCTGAGGTCGAGAACCTCGATGCGCTCTGGGAACTGGTGGCTTTGGCTTCTATAGGCGTTTCTAGAAGAAAAATGACGCCAGTGGGGACATTCAGAGGGCGTCTGCAGCGGAGATGTTTACGCGGGATCCCAGGCCCGGCCTCACGTCCACGTGGAAGCAGCAGTTTGTCTTCTTGTTGTTGGTACTTCTGTGGACTTGAGGCCTTTAAACACTCTTGAAAATGACTGAGGACCCGGAAGAGCCTTTGCTTATGAGGCTTATACATTTCAGTGTTTCCTGTGTTAGTGACGGAAGCTGAGTTCCACAAATAGCCAGTCATCAATTCATTTCAGAAGATCTGTAAACACAATACATCTTAATATGAGCAGCATATTTTTACGAAAAGAACTCTACTTCCTGAAAGAAAGAATGAGAAGAGTGCTGTCAGGTCACGCGCCTGCTAATGCCCGTCCTGCCCCCGGAGTGTCCTGCAGACAGAGACCCAGGGGGTGGTTTTGGTTGAAGTAGGTGACGAACATCTGGCCTCGCGCGGCAAGTGTGGTAGGAAAGCACGGCCACGAAACAGCCTTTCTAGATCCACAGAGGCTCTTCTCCGCCACTACAGGTCTTGAAGCCGGTGGTTTCTTTCTTCCTTTTTTTTCTCTATTTTTTAAAATGTTTATTTATTTTTGAAATAGAGAGAGAGCAAGCAGGGGAGGGGCAGAGAGAGGGAGACACAGAATCCGAAACAGGCTCCAGGCTGAGCTGTCAGCACAGAGCCCAACGCGGGGCTCGAACCCACAAACGGTGAGATCATGACCTGAGCCGAAGTCGGATGCTCAACCTCCTGGGCCGCCCAGGCGCCCCCAAAATTGACGGTTTCTTAAAGGTCAGTTGGGACGCAGGAGCTGAAGCCACTTCGTGCTGCACTGAGAGCCACGCTGTGTGTCTCGCACTGGACGGGTCGTTCGCTCGGCTGTGACTTGGGAGCATCGAGCAAGGGTCCTGAGGCAGATACTGCCCCGCCGAGCCACGCGGGTCTCCCTGATGTTGACGCATCTCACCAACGGCGTGGAAGAGCCGCGTTTGTCTGCATCCACCTGTTTTATCAGAAAAGGTCTCCTAATACCGAGAAGCGCCCGGCTCGCGGCGGCAGAGGCGAGCTTTCCAGAATTGTAACCTCTGCTCGGGAGCTCGTTTATCAATGACAAGGACCCGTCAGTCGTTTACCTTGACGTGTCGGGCTCGCTTTATCCTGAGAAAACGTGGGCCCCGCGCCCGAGTCTGAGCGGTGGGAGCCCGCGCCTGTCCGTCCAGGCGCCATGCTTTTCCGGGGTGTGAGCCGCTGGCGGTCGGGGCCCCGGGGCGCCGCCGGGTGGCCCGCGTGGCCTTGCAGGGGCGCCCCGGCCCCGGCGCCCGCAGGCTCCCCCCGAAGGCGTGGGCTCGGTGAAGGAGGCCAACGACTGGTCATGGAGCCGGTTCGGCCCGGACGCCCCCCAGCGTTTCCTCTGTCCCTTTGTTCGAGGCTGTTCCCTACGAGACTGCATTTTACACGCTTCTCCAACATATCCAGATGGAGTGTAAACCGGCAGCTTCTGAACGCGCCCGGTGGACGCCGCGTTACGGGGGGTCCGTGAGGGGCCGGGGGCTCCTCTGTCCCCCAGGAATCACCCTGTGTCTGGCCGAGGGCAGCGGGGAGGGGGGCGGGAAGCCGGCGGCCGAATAACGGGTCCGGGGGGGCCGCGGGTGTGGGCGAACCCGGCGGCGGCGGCGGCTCGGCTCACCCGCGTCCTGCGCCTGCGCGCCGCCTTGACCTCTGACCGCGCGCGAAGGGTCGTCACCCGGAACCGAACCTGTTCTCCCGCCTCCTGCTTCCGGCGCGAAGCCCTGGCCCGGCCCGCGGCCCTGGCAGCGTGTCTGGTGGACCCCGGGGAGCGCGGTCGGCCCCGTGTGCGCGTGGCGGGCCGGCGACCCCAGGGAGGGCGCGGAGGGACGCCGGCACCCAGGGGAGACCGTCGTCCGCGGACCCAGGAAGCCCGGGGGACCCCCAGCCGCGGCCAGAGCCAGGGGCCCCCCACCCAGCCGTCCCCACGGACACAGCCTCAGAGGCAAAGACTTGTCTTTCACCTCAAGGTTCACTCTTTCCAGTGTCACCGGAAGGTCCCAGCGAGAGGCGGTCAAGGTCGGGCAGTGAAGGGCGGGGGCGGGGAGGGTGTGTGGGCTGCGGGCCAGGGTCCGGGGGGCTTCCCGTGGCTCTGTGTTCTCGTCCTGCGGAAGGGAGGCGGAGGGGGGGGGGTCCTCAGGGAGAAGCAGGGGTGAGGCTGGGACACGTTTATGTAGAAGAGAGGGTGGGGGGACGGGGGTCGCTGGGGGCCGGGCTCCGAAGGAAGCGCCGCGTGCACCTGCTGACCGGCGGGTCCCTGTCCAGGTGGGCGCCCTCCAGGGTCAGTGGGTGCAGCTCGGTCATGGGAATTGTCCCGTTGTTGAGGACCCCGAAGACAGGCTCCGGTCTCTACGCGCTGGGGGCCGGGCCGGCTGAGTGGATGCGAGACTCTCAATGACTGAGAAGGGGGCTCAGCGAGCCCCCACAGAGGCCTCTGGGCGTGCGCGCCTGGACCAGGGTCCTGAGCCCCGGGCCAGCCCCTTGCAGAAATGGGCGGGCACCCGGCCCCACGTGGGGAGGGCGGCTTCCTGGGCTCGCCAGGCAAGGCTGAGGGTCCCACGTGGGGTGTGGCTGGAATCTGGGTCCTCGGTCCTCATGGAGCCCTGGGGACAGTGCCCCGCCCTCCACCCCGTTCTGCCCTCCGGCTGTGCAGGGTGCGTCAGGAGGCCAGGCCAGGCCCCTCTTCAGTGTGTCCACCTGGGGACCACGGCCCGGGGAGCTCTTGTCGTTTCCCCTGGGACTCGGCCTCACCTGCATCACTCACCCCCCGCTGCCCGGCTGCCGCCTGCCCGCGGCTGCCTGGTGATGCTAAAATGTGCCCGGTCCACTTCATTCCAGGGAGATGCACAGCTTGGGGTCCAGCAGACGGGGGCCTCTGTGCCTCAGGTGACGGCTGTGGCTGCCGATGCCCTCCCCAGTGGGGTGACGGCAGCGATGCCGTGGCCACCAGGCCAGGATTCTGGAGGACCCCGCGAACGGCAGCCGCACCACTGTGGGTCTCTGCTGGTGACGCGCGCGGGGCAGCAAGACCCTCCAGCTGGCCTCCCCACCCCCTCCTCTGGAGGTCGGGCTGTCGCGGGGCTGCCCTGGGCACGACCTGGGGTCTGGTGCTGCTCCCCGGCCTCCACGAGGGAGTTGTCACCTGCGACAAACGGTGTCTAGCCACACGGGGAAATGTCCACACGCCTGGGGGACAGGGATCTCCGTGTCCCCTCCTGTGATGAGGACGCTGGGCCCTCAGGCTCTAGAACTTTCCCAAGGAGACTTCGTGGAAACGGTGAACCCAGCCCTGCCCTGGCCCCACCTAGTGTTTTCTTTCCTTTTCCTTTCTCAGTTTCTGAATGGGAAGCAGGGCACCTCTGTGCGGACTGTGTGTGTCAGCGTTTATCGCCACGGCCGGACTTTTCTTAGCTAGAAACTCCCCTCGGTGCCCAAAACGGAAGATGAGCCCTAAAACTTCACACACATAGCGGGTCCTCGCTCCGGCAGAGAGGCCTGGTGCTCGCCAGGGCCCCGTGCAGGCGGAGCTTGGAAATTTACTTCACTTGAGGATGCGCGCAGGTTCACGCCCACGACCGCGGGCCTGGCCACCCTGTGCCGCCACACCCAGCCCGCCCCTCCTCCCGTCCTCAGCCCTGCAGCCACACCTGCTCTTCCCTCTGGCTTCAGTCACGTCAGTGTTCACACGCGGGGTCACAGAGTCCGGAGCCTCCGGGACTGGGGTCTCTGCCCTGCAAGTTCGCGGGAGACGGTCCAGGTGGCCGTGGGCACAGGTGCCTTGCTCCTGGTTCAGGCGGGACTCCACTGCGTGCAGGGACCACAGGGTGTTAACCGCCTCCCTGCGGGAGGGCCTCTGGGCCGTTTCGGGTTCTCAGCTGTTACGGACCAAACCGCCGTGAGCACCGAGGTGTCGGCTCTCGGGAGAACGTGTTTGCCTTTCTCTGGGATGGACGGAGTTCTGTTTCACGAGGGACCGTCACGGCGGCTGCAGCGTGTCGCACTCCCAGCAGTGCTCTGGGGGCCTTGGTCTGTCCGTCCGTCCCCACCTGCTCTCGCCGTGGCCGCCGTGCTGACCCGGGTGCGGGGCGACTCACGGGGGCTCCAGCCTTCATCCCCCCACAGCCAGTGACGCCCTCCTCGCCGTCGGTGCTCCCCCTCGGTGAGAGCCGCGTGCCTTCCCCGGTTCTCCGGTTGAATCGTCTGCTTCTTCGCTGCTGAGGCCTGAGAATTCTGGACGGATCCCAGGAACTCGTCCTCAGTTGTCGACAAGTTTTCTCCCAGTCGATACTTTCTTTTCTTCCTCTCTGCAGATTCTAGTTTTGATGGGGTCCAATTTACTCATTTCTCATCTTCCGGGTCACGGGATCATGGGGCGCACAGCTTAATTCACACCCCTGCTTCCTGTCCCCCCAAATCCTGACCGCGAGTCTGAGCAGACCCCTCAGGCTTGAGGATTCCCCGACCCGAAGCGACACGTGAAATCCTCCATCCCAGGAGCTGCAAAGCCGTGGCTGAAAACCGTGCTTCGCACCTGATTTGTTATTTAAAAAGTAAAGCAATCATCTCCAGTTAACGTTCCGGAGACTTCAAGGAAGATCTGGGTGTCCTGCTCCTCCTGACCTGGGAGCGCTGCCGTCCTAGCACCATGCCTGGTGGCCATCCTGGTGGCGGTCCCGCCTGCCCAGGCCGCGCTGTGGGTTTGCTCCACTCGCTGACCTCATTGGCCCCAATTGCTTGTCTCACCGATGGGAAAATGGAGGCCCAGGGGGGTGAAGACGCTCCCTTGGAGACACAGTGATGGAAGCCAAGGGCAGAAGCGTTCACCTCCCCACAGCAGAGAACAAGCTTCTCTATGAAGCTTCCTTCCCAGCTCAGTTGAATGCTCCCACGGATGGGAGGCTCACTGCCACAGTCTTTGTGTTCGAGTAGCTTTCTCCGTTGGGAAGTTTGGCTGTGACAGCACAGAACTAAATGGAAGCATCTGCCCTTCCGATGCCGTGCGTAAGTGAAGTGCGGATGCTATTTAAGCCTGTGCGAAGCAGACGCCATCTCCCCAGTGGGGTGTGGGTCAGAATTGGGTCACATGTCTCGAGAGCCTGAAGTGTGTGTTTTCCTGTCCCAGGACAGATGGAGAGCCAGCTCCTGGCTGTCCATCCCGGCCTGATCAGCGAGTGCAAAATGTGCATTTCTGCGTGAAATCTGAGGTTCACGATAATAAAATCTGGGAGCAAAATATAATCCAAAAAGAGGAGATCATTTCAAGAGCCATTTAAAAAAATTTTTTTTAATGTTTTATTTCTTAAAAAATTTTTTTTAAATGTTTTATTTATTTCTGAGAGAGAGAGAGACAGTGTGATCAGGGGAGGGTCAGAGAGAGAGGGAGACACAGAATCTGAAACAGGCTTCAGGCTCTGAGCTGTCAGCACAGAGCCCGACGCGGGGCTGA